GATCCCACATACAGACCGGTTCCCGCTCACTGGCTGAGCGAGGCGCGGGAGCAACGCCGAGGCTTGCGATCCCGTTGCCGGTCCCCGGTCCGGTACGGGGGCAACACTGAGGGTTGCAATCCGTTGCCGGACACGGAAAAAGACAAAAAGACCAAAAAAAAAAAAAAAAAAAAAAAAACTTTCTTTGATGCCGTAGGCTATTCTTATGGAATTCATGTAAAACTCAAATTTACGCATAAATATTTCATAAGTGCCTCCAGTGGGGTTAGGGAACTCTGCTAGGGCTATATAGAATTGACTTGTTTGTTAGCTTCTGTTAGCAGTTTCCTAGACTTTTGGATTTTACAAACCTTGAACATTTGAAAAAATAAGGACTGCCATAAAATTGCCAACTTTTTCTTTTCTAGGTAGTACATAATAAATAATTGCCATTGAGAAACCAACCTAAATGTCCATCAGTGGATGACAGGATAAGAGAAATGTGGTATATATACACAATGGAATACCACTCTATCATAAAAACCAATGAAATTCTGCCATTTGCAGCAACATGGATGAGCTTGGAGAAAATTATGTTAAGTGAAATAAGTCAAGCACAGAAAGACAAATACCACATGTTCTCACTTATAAGTGGGAGGAAAGGAAGGAAGGAAGGAAGGAACTAAGGAAGGAAGGAAGGAAGGAAGGAAGGAAGGAAGGAAGGAAGGAAGGAAGGGAAAGAAAGAAAGACCATAATAAAACATTGAACTTTCAGAAGGAGAGAACAGACGTATAGTTACTAGAGGTGGGAGAGGGGGTAGGGAAGGGTGCATAGGTAGAAATGGGGCAAGGGACACAAAAAGTAATTACAGTTTGTGATGATGAACATGCTAATAATATTGATTTGATGACCACATACTGTATGCAAATACTGATAGTCAACTCTATACACGTAAATATGTCTAAATAAAAATAAATAAATAAATGACTGCCATGTACTACCACAATTCTTTTACAAAAGAAAGGATATTTGGATACCAAAATATACAATCTCAAGATTTTTAAAAAAATTAATAAATTAGGCTTAGTGGACAACTTCATTCAGGAGTGGGGTCTGCAAAATCAGGGAACAGACATTGGGGAATCTCCTGCTTTTTGCCCCTATTTGATACAGTTCTTAGATGCCATTTCTCATTCAGTTTCACACTTCTAGTGCAGTGCCCGCTGTGTAGCAGGAAATATTCAATTAATATTTATGAATGAGACAACAAATCTGCCTCTGAGCAAATGCCTCTGAGATCCAGGGTAATGACTACAGCACAGAGCACCCGTGAGATCACACCAACGATGGTGAGGGAGTGGCGGAAGGGTGTGTGTGTGTGTGTGCGTGTGTGTGTGTAAACTGGTACAATTTACTTCACAAGTTTTCTAGGTACCACCATTTAGAAGATTTTATGCAGAGTTATTGGCGAGATTGTCCTGTGGGAGAACAAAGGAGAAAGCAGGGGCAGGAAGTAAGTTACTGAGACATATCAATGTAGAGAGAAACTGACACTCTTCCTGGGACTCCAACTGTAAAAACGTTCTACGTGACATCCAAAGTGGATTAAGAATTATAAGTATACCCACTCTAAATAGATAAAATGCATTGAGTGTTTATTATGTGCCAGGCACTGTTCTAAATTCTTTCTATTCGTTATCTCATTTAATCATTACATCAACCTGTTAAAATAGATTCAATTCCTATTGCCTTGTACAGATGAGGAAACTGAGGTTGCGGAGGTTAAATAATTTGTCCAGGGTCACACAGTTAGCCAGCGAGAGGTCATTCTCAACCCTGATCTATCTGTCTTTAGAGCTCACCAAAACTCTCAGGTTCCTTTCTAGCCACATATTTTTATAATGAGCACAATTTTTGTATGACTTGGTTTTCATTTGAAAAATAAGGAGGAAATCAAAATGATTCTTCCTATCCAGGATTTTAAAGCTGTTAGGGCATTCAGTTTTTCTACATAAAAAGTGTGTGACCATAAGCAAGTTCCCTAACTTCTTTGAACTTCCATTTCTACATCTCCAAAATGGGTATGAAAGCCCTTCTCTCTATATTTTTAGGAAAATCAAAACAGCTAGCAAAGGGTCTTGATTATAAAGGGGCTTTAATAAACATTAATTCACTACGGGGCCTATTAAGATAAAATGACATTTTGAAATTAAAATCATATTAAATATTAGCAATAGGATGACAACAAATAGATCACTGCTCTGGTGGATAAAGGTACCTATATTTACACAATTCTTTAGAGTATTATCTTTGCTGCAGCCCTCATTTTAATTAAGTGCGTAGAGATCAGACATTGCAGCACAGGAAGAAGTTTATACTTGATTTGCACCACAGATGCACATTTTCAGCATCCAGACATCCCATTCCTTGGCTAAAGATATAACAAGCTACTTCAGCAAACCTGATATTGCCAAATAAATGGAGAATGCTTAATCATTTAAAAAGATATACCAAAGAACGGAAAGGCCAAAGCATGCACTGTACCAGTGAGGAAAGTTAGCCAGCAGGAAGTCTCCTCTACTTTTTAAAAGGCTGACAAATGGCTTCAATTAGGCAGGCAGGATATAAAACCAAAACAGCTCATCTCTATCATTTTTTACATATAAACACATACAGAAAAAAAGTGAACATTTCTATATGTAGTCTCATTTTTGGCAAAAGTATTATTCATGGAGAAAAATCAAGTTGCAGAGAAACATGTAAAATATGAACTTATTTTGTAGAAGCAATGTCAAGCCCCACCTATGCCTGAGTATGCATCTGTATGTCTTTGTGTGAATATGGAGAAGGTATGAAAAGTTCATGCCAGGCTGTCACCTTGGGCACCTCAAGACAGGCCACTCCAGAGAGAGTTTGGGGGAGATTTTTGTTTCTTGACCATTTTTACATTCCTTTGCTAAATGTAATGAACAAACATTATTTTGAAACAAAAACATTTAAAAATTTAAAAAGTATATTATTATTCATCCATCCATTCATTCATCAATTTATTCATCATCCAATATTTATTGAGTCCTTAGTGATGACCCTTTAAATAAACCAAGTTGGTCATCTCTGTGAACTGTCCGACCTGACTTTTCAGAGATGGGCCGGCTAAATTTGGCCGCACTTGCGGGATTAGCAATGTGGTACTGCGTTCTTCCCTAGAATCTTGCCCTATTCTCCTTTGGAATTAATGGGGTACATTAAATTCAAACCATTTGGACTTTGCTCATTTTCTTTCTATTTATAGTTACTGCAGTAGAAGGAAGGTTGATTGACTCCCACGTTCCATTGAATTGTAGGTGGCCACTGGTGGAGAGAATATGGTTGAGTCAAAACACCAGGTGAAGTTCTGACTTTCATTAACCAGTTATGTAATATTTGCATGCTACTTCCTTCTTTTTGAACTTCAGCACTGTCTTCTCTTCTTAAGTAATAATATCTATTTCAGAGTATGGCTGTAAAGCTCAAATAGAATGAGATATAGAAAGCATCAATAAATGGCAAAGTGATGGGTAAGTGTACAGTACTATTTCCCCACAAAGATTTTGTAATTTGCTTCCTAACAGAGAACAATAACATATGTTTACAATTATTTGCAGATTTCCACTTGAGGCAAGACTATAATAAGCTTGAATGGCACTCAGAAGGTTTAGTTAGTCCCGAAAGCAACAGCTAACATATTAGGCAAATGTGATTTCTTCCTGGTAATGACAGAAAACCCAATTAACAAACGAGCATATCTGACCTGGTGTAGTCGTCTTCAACAAGCATGTGCTTTGGAATTGGTGAATACCTTCCTGGAGAGATGGGTGGCAGGGAGGTTTTATATTCTAAAGTGCCATTGTTGCCAGAGAGTAGATGGTTTTCCATCGATGGAGAATAAGCTAAGGGGTGGGGGGAAAAAAGAAACCTGTTATGTGGGTGCTTCAATGTGTCATACTATACTTCAGAGGATGTGTTAAAAATAGAAAGACTTTTACATGCCAAGGATTTTCTTGTCCTCCAAGAGGGGGGGATTGCTGTTTGTTTCCATTTAATATATACAAGTACATGGTGACTTTAGGATTGGAAAGATGCAATAACAACTATATCTGTAACTCCAGTTAGTACAATTAGGTGAAAAAAAAGAATTGGAGGAGAGATCCAGTACACCAATTTCAGAACGATGATTAATTTTCTATTGAAATAAAAATGTTAGCTTTCTAATTGCAGAGCTCACATTCTTTTCACATAATTAATATCCAATCATCAAAAGCAAAAGGCTCCTAGGGAGCAGGTTCTTGTATAAGACTTTCTCCCAAAATATGCTGTATTCCAATCCCAGAAAGGCCAAGAACTCTGGCCTTTTTTTTCCATTCTTTCTGCCTAATTTTTGTCCCTTTTAGGGGATTGAAAACATCTCCTAAGTGGGTCTCCTGTACCTCTTTCTCTCCTTAAATCCATTTTATACATTGAGATGAAATAAACCCTTCTGAAACCCAGCTCTAATCATGCTGTTCTTTTGCTTAAATGCTTTCCATTGCCACTATGTATTGAATATAGTAAAAACTCTCCTTTTTGCCATTCTTATAAAATTCATCCATTTAGATATCCCCCTTACACATATCCTATGGTCCTCAAACATAGCCTGTGCTTCCTGACATCTGCACTTCTGTTCCACTGAATGAACTACCTACAAGTTATGTTTCCTATGCTATCTCAGATGTTGAAATTGCATCCATTCCTTGATACCTTTCAAATGCCAGTCTCTGCATAAAGATTTTTCTCATCTTCCAAAGACAGATGATGTATCTCCTTCCTTTGAGTTCCTAAAGGACACTTATTTTTACCTCTCCTATGGTATATACATCCCTCTTATTCTGCCAAATATTGCTGCTATTTACATATCTGAGTTAGCATTCCTTCCAACTGAGTTCCCTAAAAGCCATGATCATATCTCCATTGCCTCCTATATATTATTTTACAAGGTATCTTGCACATATTAAGTTACTCAATACATACTTCTCGAATTGACTAGAAAGGTTGGTTTTCTCCCTTTTGTATCTTTGACCTTGACCTTATAAGTCCTCATAAAGTGGCTCACAGTCTCAAGGCCTTTTAAAAAAAAAATCATCTATTTTGAAAAACTCTGAAAATTAAAACTGTTTTGTGTCTTAAGGTAAAGCTGGTTTCAGCTCACTGCCTGCTTGAAAAAAACAAATATATTTGGGGCAAGCCATTTTAGTATCATCACTAAGAAAAGCAATAGCTAACATAATGGTTAGGTAACAAAATTATTCAACCCTTAAATTTCTCTCAAGAGAAACACTTAAATCTAAGAGGAGTTAAAATACTTGCTTAAGAGCATAGTACCAATTAATGGCAGGTCTTGAAGACATCTTGAGTTCCCAGTCTCACAATTGTATTCTCAAAATTTCAGCATGAGCGAGTTTACGGATGTCAACAAAACTGTCCCTTAAATTTACAAAAAAAAATAAATAAAATAAATAAAAAAGTGAATTGCTTCTAAGTCTAGTCCCTAAAGACAGAACCTTAGGTAAGGTTTTTGTTGGCCTGTTAAGAAGAGGAGAAAACATGGGGATTGGGTAGAAGTGGACTTTGTGAGGACCCCAACATAGCGTTTCATTAGTTAATTGTTAACTGTTGCCCTAGAAGCCCCTATCCCCAACCCACCTCTACTGCCACAGTGACTGATCATTTTCTCTGGCTTCCCTGCCAATATAACAAATTCAGGTAAAGGTAAGAGCTATAATGGTGATTGAGGATCATACTTTTGCCACTCAAGCAAAAAATCCCTGCCTTAAGGAAGAAGCATAGGGCTGTCTCTGGTCTATTTTTTACCACCCTCTCTTTTCCACTCAGCTACTACATTAAGCCTTTCCATAATGATGGACCTGCCAACTTATCAGGATGTCCCACTTTCAAAATACTAGGTAAAGGCCTGCAAGATAACATGGGCATGAAGCATAGGATATTCCCTCTGAAATATTTCCAGAAGCTAGATGTGAGGGAAAGTGCAAGCAGAAGCCGTTGCTGGTAGTTTTGTAGAACTGCAATTTTGCAAACCTGGCATGCTATTTGAAGATGACACTGGTGTGGTACTTACAGTGAGTAATATCAGGTGGACCATAAGGATCAGTCATATAAATGGTGGTGGGTTTGCCAACTTTTAGATAAACTACATCCGATGTGTTCTTCAATATTGCTACAGCCTCTTCATGTGTTACTTCTTCTAAACTGTAGTTGTTTACCTGGAGGACAGAAAAATTCAATATTAGAGTTAAACCTATGCAGCTGAAGAGAAATATTCAGGCAAGAAGATATCTGGAATTGTGACCTTCTTGAAAAATTAGATTGTAATAATTACAGTCCAGTACCCATATCATATTTTGTCAAATAAGGTACAGTAGTTAATGCTATGAAGCAAGATTGCTTCTGCCTTTTTCTATGAGAAAGTGACATGTTATAATGGAATTTAGAATAGTATTTGTGGAAAAGGGAAATGAGTGGTCAAATGTCTTTCTTATTTTGCTAATAAGAAAATTCTTGTGATTACAGAAGTAATATTTATTCACTGAAGAAAACTTAAAAAAAAAAAGAAAAGAAAAATTATTCGTAATCTCCCTGATAACAGTTTGGGTATGTTGTCCCCCACAAAGGCCAAAATCTGATCCCCAATGTGGCAGTATCGGGAGTTGTTTGGATCATGGGGGACAGACCCCTCATGAATACATTAATATGTTGGTGGGGGGGTAGTGAGTGAATTCTTGCTCTATTAGTTCCCACGAGAGCTGATTGTGTAAAGGACCCTGGCCCCTTCCTTCTCTGTTTCTCGCTTTCTCTTGCTATGTGATCTTGCACCCACTGGCTGCCTGCCACTTTCCACATGAGTAGAAGTAGCCTAAGGCCTGTGCAAGATGCAGCTGTCCCAGAATCGTGAGCCAAATAAACCTCTTTTCTTTATAAATTACCCAGTCTCAGGTGTTTGTGCTATAGCAACACAAAAATAGACAAATACACTCCCTACTTGGATATATTTCTTTAAATCGTGACTATATTATATATATTGTTTTGGAAGCTGCTTTTTAAATTCAGAGTGCTTATATTATATCCATAACATTAATATACTTCAATAACATGACTTTTGCTTTCTACAGAGTATTGTGTTGAATGGCTATAACAAAGATTTTTTAAAAATTTAATTTATTTTTTTTCATTGTATATGTTTATGGGGTACAGTTTCTTGTTTCAAAGCATGACATATTGTATAATGATCTAATCAGAATAGCTAGCATATCTGTCACCTAAACATTTATCATTTCTTTGTGGTTATAACATTCAAGATTCTCTTTTCTGGCTAATTTGAAATACACAATACAATATTATTAGCTATTGTCACCCTAGGGCACTAGAACTTATTCTTCCTATCTAACCATAACTTTATAACATAATGATTTAACTAATCTCTTACTAGTGGATGTTCAGTTTGCTTCTAATATTCTGCTACTATAAATATTGGTGCAATAAATCTTTTTCTATATTTGTGCATAACTTTGATGATTTCTTTGGGATAAATCATACAAGTGCACTTGCTGAAGCAAACTGTACGAACATTATTAAGCCTTTTTTTCCTTTTTGTCTTTTTTCATGTCCGGCAACAGATCGCAACCCTCAGTGTTGCGCCCGTACCGGACCAGGACCGGCAACGGCATCGCAACCCTCGGTGCTGCGCCCGCACCTCGCTCAGCCAGTGAGCGGGAACCGGTCTGTATGTGGGATCCGAACCCTCGGCAGGAGCGCCACCGTGCTCCCAAGCGGCGCACTGTAGCAGTGCGCCACCGGGCTGGCCCCATTAAGCCTTTTGATACCTATTCCTGAAGTGCCATCTAGAAAGAGGAACCAGTTAACTCTCATACCAGCACTATATGAGAGCCCACATTTCCCTACAACTTTATCAAACCCACATTTCATCACTTTAAAAAATTTTCCCATGAAAATGTCATTTAACATGAGTCTATTTTCTAAGCAAAGAGTGTGGATGTTTGAACACAGGGCTTTGCAGGTTCAAGGGTACCTAATTGCTATCAGCTTTAACAGAAATGCCCTTTTTCATTGCACAGAAAAGCCTGTGATACATGTGCAATTCTTACTTTGTGGCAATGGCATTACAGTGGATCTCTGCAGCACTTTTCTGAAATGATCTAAAGGTAGTACCTTCAGAAAGACTTAGTCTTTGAGTAAATGAGAATCAGCATTTAGAAAGTATTTCAAATACCAAGGTTATCCTTATTTGACTTCTAATTTTTAAAAAATAAATTTTATTGTATATATTTTAGGTTTATAACATGATGTTATGGGATAAATGGATAAATATGGATAGTAAAATGGTTACTATAATGAAGAAATTAGCATATCCATCATAACACATAGTTACTGTTTTTGTGTGACAAGGAGCAGATAAAATCTAGTTATTTGACAAAAATTTCTAATATAACACAATTTTATTGATTATAATCTTCATGTTGTACATTAGATCGCTAGACTAGTTCATCCTACATATCTGCTACTTTGTATCCTTTGAACTACATCTCAACATGCCTCTCCCTCCCCAACTACTGTTTTATTCTCTCTCTCAATATATACAACCTTTTTTGTTTGTTTAAGATGCTGCATGTAAGTAAAATCATGCAATATTTTTCTTTCGTTGTCTAGATTATTTCACTTAGCATAATGACCTCCAGGTCCATCCACGTTGTGGCAAATGGTAGTATCACCTTCTTTCTTAAGGCTGAATAATATTCCACTGTATAGATATACCATAATTTCCTTACTCATTCTTCTGTTGACAGAGACATAGGTTGTTTCAATATCCTGGCTATTGTGAATGGTGTAATGAACATGACATTGTAGATGTTTTTATGAGGTAGTGATTTCGTCTTATGTAGGTATATAACTGAAGAGAGATTGCTGGGTCATGTGGTAGTTCTATTTTTAATTTAAACGAGTGTGAAGTGATATTTCATGGTGGTTTTGATTCACATTTCCCTGATAATTAGTGATGTTGAGCATCTTTGCATATACCTGTTGGCCATTTTTGTGCCTTCTTTAGAAAAATGTCTATTAAGGTCCTTTGCCTGTTTTTTAATCAGGTTTTTTGTTTCTCTATTGAGTTGTATGAGTTCTTTATAAATTTTAGATATTAATCTCTTATCAGATATTTGGTTTGCAAATATTTTTTCCCAATCCATAGGTTGCTGTCTCATTTCTTTGATTGTTTTCTTTGCTGTGCAGAAGCTTTTTGGCTTGATGTAGTCTCATTTATTTATTTTTGCTATTTTAGCCTCAGCTTTTGATGTGATAGCCAGAAAATAATCATTGCCAAGGCCAATGTCAAGGAGCTTTTTCCTTATGTTCTCTTCTAGGACATTTATGGTTTCAGACCTATGTTTAGGTCTTTTACCCATTTGAAGTTGATTTTTGTGTATGGTGTAAGATTAGGGTTCAGTTTCATTCTTTTGCATGTGGAAGTCCAGTTTTTTCAGCACCATTTGTTGGAGAGACTATCCTTTCCCCACGGTGTCTTCCTGGTACCCTTACTGAAAATTAGTTGATCATGTATGTTTGAATTTATTTTGGCCACCTTCTTTTAATGGAGTGATTCTTTAGTTACTTTCTGTTGAGATGATGTAGAATGAAAACTAATGTGCCAATAATATTGGATTGGGTCTCTATAGTATATAATCTTGTGCTATCTAATTAGCACTTAGTCATATAATACCTTGCAGCACTGCTGTTTATTTATTTATTTATTTTTTTATTTTTGAGGTAATTGTAGATTCACATGCACTTGCAGGAAATAATACAGAGATCCCAACCCTTTACATAGTTTTCCCCGGTGGTAACATCTCATAAGATTATAATCAGGATATTGACATTGATATAGTCAGAGTGTAAGGGCTGGCCAGTTAGCTCAGTTGGTTACAGTGTAGTGTTATAACACCAAGGGCAAGGGTTTGGATCCCTGTAATGGCCAGCTGCCAAAAAATAAATAAAGATATATAACACTTCTGTCACCATAAGGATCCCTTAAGTTGCCCTTTGTAGCCACACCCACTGCCTTGTGTTGAATGCCCCCCCAAAACTTAATCTCTACTGTAACTGTTGAGGGTGAGAAATCCTATTATGGTAATTGAAAGGTGGGGCCTTGAAGAGGTGATTAGATTGTAGGACTGTGCTGTAGTGAATGGGTTAATAACAGTGGTCATAGACGTGGTTTGGAGGGCTTTAAAAAGAGAGGAGGTTAGTCTCTGCTCTCTCTGCTCCACCATTTCACAATGTGATACCCTGCTGTCACTGAAGTCACCACCAAAGAAAGCTGTCACCAGATGTTTCCCCTGGACTTTGGACTTCCTCGCCTCTGAAACTGTAAGCAGTAAATGTCATTTTCTTACACATTACCCAGTTTCAGGTATTTTGTTATAAGCAACAGAAACGGGCTAATACATCCACTCTCCTGCCACCTCAATCCTCTCCTTAACTCCTGGCAACCACTCATCTTTTCTCCGTTTCTGTAATTTTGTCATTTAACAAATGTTATATAAATGTCA